GATTTGAACCCACGCTGGTCTGACCTCAAAGCCAGGGTGTTAGCTTTTATAATACTGCCTCTCTGTATAGTAGCTTACCATGTATTGATCATTAAAAATATATATATCATATATTATTCCATTATGTGTCTTTTTTGCCATATTTTCTCTTTGATGTGTTCGTAGGCCACAGATTACCTTTAAATGTTCTGGTTTCCTGTTACTGTTTTATTCTTGGGGCCAAAAATGTTAAAGTCCATCCTTTTAAGCTGTTGCACCTGGAGTGACATGATGTTATTATCAGCAATGACAGTTAATCTTATAAGCTCCCAACAAACGTTATGCAAATGAGCCTTTTGGATGGACATATAATCTTCTTAGTCTATGTATAGAACCCAGCCAAATCTTGAGCAAATAGAGGCCCCATTGGGAATAGAGCTGTACCAAGTCTCAAACAATGAGGCCAATCCAGTGAGTACCCACCCAGATTACTGTCCGTGGCAATCATTTGGAGGCAGAATCACAACATAATGGAACTCTGTGGTCCATGGACTCCTCAGGACTTTGCTGTGATGAAAAGATACATAGCTGCTAGTCCTGATGATGTTGGTGGAGAGAAAGCTAGGGCTCTAAAAGCAGCCTGCCTACTGCTGATAAACTAGAAAAAAAAATAGCTCTCTTTTTTAAATAGGGCTGGTAGGCTGTACTTGGCCCAAAAATCACTAAACTACAACAACAATAAATACAAAAAGCTAAAGAGGGTCATTTCATTGGAGAGGAAGAAATTCTACAAACCAAATATGCATCACTGGTAATGGGCCAGATTCATGAAAGTTAAGAGGAACAAGAGATGAGCAACTGAACAGTTATTAGCAGCATTCCCAGAAGCTGCCATTTGGGTAGGAAATCTGGTGCCAAGGGCTGCACGCAAGCAATTGGCTGGGGGCATTTATAGGAAGGGTTTCCTGGAAGAATCACTGAGGATTGTCATTCACATCAAGACTCAGGAAGTCTGGGTACCACGTGGATGGCTCTGAATGATTTACAGGGCAGGGCTCCCAGCTGAGATGCTAATGCTCATCAATTATTTGTGCTGTTAATGCAAGCTCAGGAAGGGCCCAAGAATCCCTAAATACGTGGGCAAGTGGTGCTGTTATAATGACAAGTGAAAAGAATTCAATGTAAATTTATATGCACAGTATGGCTTCAGCTATGTGAATTGCTAGGTGAAAAACCATATAAAATTGCCATTTTGTAGGTCACAATGGTTGAACATCAGCAACTTCCTATGTTTCAACTTATAATAAGATACACAGAAAAAAGACCAGCAAGAACTGCACCAAAATATTAATGATGCCTCAATTAATGTTTTGCCTTTACAGGCAGAGAAACAAGATACAGAAGGTATCTTTTACAAATCAGGAGAATTTCCAGTCTTTGGACATCTATTTATTGTATGTCTTTATAGTTCCCTAAATCTTATTTTGCAGTGTGTTTCTTTTATTATCAGGAAGAATGAAGCAAATTTAAAAGTCGGCAAACTGAAGAAAATGATGTAAAGAAAAGGAAAATAGCTACTCTGGAATTATACGAACATGTGAGAGTTTCCCCTCAAAGAGGGTTAAGCCAGCCCTGCCAGTCCAGATGTGGCAGATGGCGACAGGATGTCTGCTACTGGCCCAGGAGGGAGGGAGAGGACGAAGTGGTCGGTGATCAAGTCAGGAGCCTGTAGAAAAGTGTTAGTCCAGCTCGGGAGTCCTCATCCCCTCAACCTGTGTTCCTGGGACTCCAGGATTTCATGTATCTCACTTTGAGAAACGGATTTTTAAGCCTAAAGTTTTATCCATTAAAAAAAAATGTCAGGGTGACC